CCCCCCCCCCCCCCGCCCCCGCCGTGCCATTACAGCTCGTATTCCGATCCCTACTCGAGTTACTATCCGGCGTACTACTCCAGCGCCCCACCTCCGCCTCCACCGAGGCCTTGGCCACCAGGTTACAGTGGGCCGGGTGGTCCTGGCGGGCCTGGCGGGCCTTCCGCACCACTGGACTACTCGAATTATGATCAGAAGCCCAAGAGTGGGAAGATGGGGCTGGGCACGGGATTGGCTGTGGGCGCAGTGGCAGGAGGTATAGGTGGACTGGCATTGGATGAGGGATTGAGGTACGAAGAAGATAAGATTGCGGAGAGGGTTGAGAATGACTTGCGTGAGCGTGACGATTACAGCAACTATCGTGCCGATTATTGATTGATTGATTCAATCGGAGGTTGAGGTATGGTTTAATGACTAAAGCGCAATGTTAATTTGCGGTTTATCGGTGTATATGTATATATATTTTATGTGGAATTTGATCTAAGCTTGGCGCTTATGGATGTTTGGTTGAAGTAAGACAAGAGTTTAATGTTAAATCAGTGTTTTATTATGGAATAAATATTGGTTTGTTATTAATGAATTTCATGTGGAGCTTGTAATGTGTTTGTTCGCTTTTGTCGAATGCATATGTTTTCTTGGAATGAATTGTATGATTGATCTCAAATACTTGGTACAGTAACAGAGTTTGATTGATTGGTTTACTGGTGATGTTTTGAGCTAAAGAGTTTTGTTTCAATAGCATTGAGGATGTTGAAAGTTAGTCCATATGTTTTGGCATCATTTTAATGTAGCAAACTGGATATGGTTCTTTGGATTGTTTAAGAGAGTTAGTTGGTAAATGGCAGAAAGAAGCATAGATTTTATTGAAGCAGTTTTTAGATGAATGGATGGTTGAGCAGCTCAACTTGAGCTTTTGACTGATGGAAGGTTTTGTGTACCCTTCAAAGCAACCTTGTATAGCCGGAGAGTTGTGTACTCGTGGGATGGGAATTCATGCTCTGAGTTTAGGCTTTCTTTTTAGTAGATATGATTGAGAGCAGAAGAAATTTCGAATTGGGGAAACGGGTTTTGTGTTTGAACTTTGAGTCTAGCTCACATTCACAACTATGGAAGTTGGATATCTGTAATCCGACGATGATTGTACCGCAGCTAAATGTATCTTGCAATCTTTGCTGTGATTCTAGACTGGTGTGTATGGTTCAAAGGTTATCTTAGGTATTCGCCTTCTCTACCTCTGTCTTGTGTGTGGTGCAGCAAGGGTTTTCCTATGCTTTTTTATATTAGACAGTGATGTGTGTTTCAAGGTTTTAGGAAGCCTTTCCTTATTCTCTTCCAATGCAACAAGGATTTTCCCAATGCTTAAGACTGTTGGAACTGAACCAGGAGCTGCCCTGGAACTGTAAAAACCTACCAAGCTTCAACCCTATGGAGTCCAATCAATACCTCCATACCTGAGTCATATCTGTCATTGATACTCTGAGGAATGAAATGATGATTTTTGCTATGTTTAAAGTGGTTTGTGTGGCGATAGAGGAGACAATGAAGAAGCAACAAGACCGTTTGTTTTGTATAACTCGACAGGAATAGTTCCAGCCGTTTCCATGAGTTTCATGTGTTAAATAGCCAACTGGTTACTTAGCACATGAAACTCATGGAGAAGGACCGGGAAATCACAGTTTTGTACTTTTCTATTATCTTTGTCGGAGTGGAGTCGAGTAATAAAAGATTGGATAGCTTGAAGGGATCTTGGTTTTCTGACAAAAGTTTAATGAGTGGAATGAAACCAAAAGTGATATAGATGAACTGGGAGATCCATCAATCTTAGAAGGCAATATATATTATTTTTTAAAAATTTGTGCTGTTTTCTGTTCTATTCAAATCCTCTTACTTAAAGGAGAAAAAAGCTTGAGGATCTTTACTTACTCTCCGAAGACTCCTACGGGTTTAAGCAGAGGCCTCTCAAATGGGCTTGATCACTAGCAAGCAGATGAACTGCAATGGAAGGCAGACTCCTCAAACAATAACCCATGGATCTCTCAGAAACCATCTGAGACTGACTGGTCCAATCTAGCCTTATCACTCAATACGTTGCTAAAGCCCAAACCCAATATCCATCCAACCTAAACAAACACTTTTTCTTTTCTTTTCTTTTTTCTCATTTTAGAATTGAAGCCGACTGAACACCAGACCAATGGTTTCTTGAAATTTGTATTGGTATGGTTGTTGTTGAGATTATTTGTCTCATATTAAAAATTAGGGGACTTAGTTTGAGTTTATAATGAGTTTGAGTTCTTGAAATCACAACTTTCTTCGTAGTATCATATCAAGGTTATTTACGTATTGAACTCAACGATCATAAGTGCTCTCATGTTACCTAATATGTTGTCCACGTCTTATAGTTCAAATTTGAAACCTCTACTGCCTTCAATGGTACTGTTCTTCCCACGCTTGCCAAATTAGAAGCTCATCATCACAAACACTGAACTTTTGATTTCTACATGGCTCTGCCTCCACTTTTGTGTTGTCCTTGTTTACAAGCGCTGGAAAAGCACAAGCACCCAAGCAAAGCGACAAACAGAAAAACAAATACGTCAAACAAACACAAATAAGTGCCAAAACCCTATATTTCCACATGATTTGGATTTGCACCAAGGCTTTTTAGGAAAGAAAAAATAATTATAAAATGAAACATGGTGCCCCTAATGAACTCAATTTGACTACCACAACACAATTATTCATTCCAAAGGAGTGGAGCACGGATTACGAGACAGGACCATTTGCACAAATCCAATCATGATGTCCAATGTACGTACTTCTCCCAAAGGACATAGACATGGATCCATCTTAGGAGGGAAGCTCAATTGGATTTGGATTTGGATTTCAATCCACTTTGATGTCAAGAACTTATCTCACTTTTCCCCCTAAATTATTGGATGAATGATGTTAAACATGAATAGGTTAATTGGAAAAAAAAAACAAATCCCAATAGATTAGAGGCATTATTACCAATAACTAAATAAATTTAGCTTATCCACTCGGAGTGATGAGAACATCTTCTGGCCTCTTTCAATGTATATACATACGTAAGATTCATTTTCAATTGCTGGGTTTTTCTTTGACTTTGAGTGGTTGTTTGTGACCAAGACAGAGACAACTTTAGAGCCAAGAAAAATGACAAATTGTTGATAAGTCCTGAATGGTTCCACAACTAATATAACCGAGATATTTTGTGATAAAATCCTATACATACTGATCTTTGTAGGTGGTTAAGTTTGGAACAATATATGTGTTGCTAGTAGTGAATCGTTGCCCCATCTCTCTGAAATTTAACACAAATCAAGTTACGGTGTGAATCGATACAAGTTAGGAAAAAAAAACAAGTTGAATGCAATCATAATTTGAAAACAAAGATATATATGGTACAAAACAATTAATTCATAGTTAGGAAACACAACACTCGTAATCTGTTCTTAATTCGAACATTTTGGTATCCACAGAAAGCAGAGATATTCGAGCAAGCACCAAGTCCATATAACATGAAATGCAGCAGGAAACAAAACAAAAAAAGAAAATCATGATTAAGAATCAAACAAAGATTAGGAGGCTATATATATACATTTGACGTGACATATAGGGTACTAAAATTGGGCAATCAGCAACTAGAGGAGGGTAAACTGCAGCAACGCACGCCTAGAATAATTTTGTTCTCTTTTCTTTTTAACTTGTCTAGTATAATTTTGTTGGCAAGCACCAAACTATAATGGTTTTTGGCGCAGATGTCACAGGCTACAGCTACTTACCATCATTCTTGGTGGACATTAAGTGAAAGGGGGAAATATATCAAACCCTAGCTAGGGTGGAAGGGAATGGTTCTCATTACATTCTTCCTGCAATTGATTCTTCTCCCAATAGAACAATACCCTACTAGCTACCACTCCCACCAACAAAACATGTTAGCATTTGGAATTTCAATTTTCCTTCTTTTCTTAACGTAATTCCATATTTCTCGCTAGTTTTAACGCGTAATTAACTCTGAGTTACACTACAACAAAAACGAGATACGACAAGGGAAAAAGGTACAACATGCAGCTCGAACCAGCACTGTTATAGCTGCAAGAAAAGCAAAGTTGGAGCTCTGAATAATTACCACCAGATGACAAGGAGGAAAAGTTACCATTCTATCAAATAGAGCATCCTACTTAGTTTTGGACCACCAGCACTGCATGCTAGCTAGATAGCCCTACCCCTATCCCTGTGCATGCATTTGGGTCAGGCATAATAACCATATCTGTATAAACTATCATGGCTATCACTATACATGAATTTTGTACAAATTGGAGCTCGAGACAAATTTTGGTGGTCCATTATAGTTGTGGTGCGCCAACCCTACAAATTTATTGCCCATGAAAGTGGATACATGTATATTTTTGATTTGGACAAACATCATGCTTCGTTTCTTCTACGATGTAATAATGAAGGCAATAAGAAAATATACATACATATTTTGATGTCGAAGGCAAAGCTGAGGCGCGGTTGGTTTTGATTGTCGGGATGCAGCAGTTGTAGTAGTAGTTGATGGGAGGGAGGTAGCAATGTGACAGAAAATGACCACGTCTAGAGCATCAATATTTGATTACCTTTTTTTTGTGGTTTCTCTCTCTTACATGGCCTGCAGAGCGTGGGTACGTATTTATGCTTCGAATGCCAATTAATAAATGAATTTGTCTTTTAATTAGAGTTATAGGACAAGCTGTCCTACAAACCAGGGTCACCATATTCATCATCATATATATCCAAACTACCTAAGCTAACCACCTTCTTCAACCAACCTAGCTAATCATTTTCTATCATAATTAACATTTTAATTGTAGTTATGGACATTAATTCACAATTTGGCTTGCAAGTAGTCTGATTAATGAGGTCTCATAATATGGTATCGCTCATGTTTACTTTTTTTTAGGACATTTCCTATTGAGATGAGATATGACATACTAAACTCACACACACTACACGCAGTGAGGGCCTATTAAGGTGCCTCCCCTTGCCGGAAAAGCCATTATAGGTGTTGCATATTGCACCTCTGCTCAACCTAAGAGGTGCACTCTAGGTGTTTGATGAAAATCCTAAACGAAATTAGTCTGTTGATGCGCTGTGTTGTGTTGCGCAGCGTTCTTCTTGTTGTTTTATTAAAATCTTGGCCAAAATTGCATCTTTGCTAAAAAAAATCATGGGTCTACTAGTGACTACACAGATAATAGAACTCGAACCCAAAACCTTTCATGTGAGAACAATATTATCATTTTTATGCACTAACTCTGCGGATTTGCTCATCAACAGGACCTTTTTATATATTATCAAAAATAAAAAGGAAATGGGCAATTCATTTTTTATACATTTTGTATGCTACTTAAGACGCTAGACGGATCTAGACAAACTAGATAAATTCATTATGATTGACGTTGTTTGAATTAGAGCATATCGATTTAGAAATACACTGATCGGCATGATAATAGTCGTAAAAAAAATATAAACAACGTGACGTCAATCATAACAAAATACTTTTCATGGCAGGATTAGTTTGGTGGGCTGAACCTTTCAGAATATG